ATATATATATATATATGTGTGTGTGTGTGTGTGTGTGTGTGTAAAAAATCCATAACCTCAGTCTAATCATGAGAAAACATCAGACAAATCCAAATTGTAAAACAGTCTCTAAAAATACCTGGCCACTATTCTTCAAAAATGTCAAAAGTCATCAGAGGCAAGGAAAGACCAAGTAACTGACAGATTGGAAGAGACGGAGGAGACATGACTGCTAAATATGCAGTATCCTGCATTGGATCCTAAAACAAAAAAAGGACATTAGTGTGGAAGTACTGGAGAAATCTGAATAAAGTCTGTAGTTTCACTAATGGTATTGTATCAATGTTAATTTCTTAGTTTTCATAAATATGCCATGGTTATATAAGATGTAACAGTAAAGAAATATGGGCGGAGGGTGTATGGGAATGCTCTACTATTTTGCAACTCATCTATAAATCTAAAATTGACCGTGCTCGCTTCGGCAGCACATATACTAAAACTGGAACGATACAGAGTAGATTAGCATGGCCCCTGTGCAAGGATGACACACAAATTCGTGAAGCATTCCATATTTTAAAGAAAAAAAATAAAAAATAAAATTGACCTATATAATAAAAGGGTAATATGCAAATGGACCCTAACGGCAGAACGACCGGTTGCTATGACATGCACTGACCATCAGGGGGCAGAGCTCAATGCAGGAGCTGCCCCCTGGTGGTCAGTGTGCTTCCACAGGGGGAGTGCCACTCAACCAGAAGCCGGCTCATGGCTGGCCAGTGCAGCAGTGGTGGTAGGAGCCTCCCCCGCCTCCGCAGCAGTGCTCCCGGGCTGCCAAAGGGATGTCTGACTTCCAGCTTAGGCCCGATCCCCTGAGGAGTGGGCCTAAGCTGTCAGTCGGACATCCCCTGAGGGGTCCTGGGCTGTAAGAGGGCACAGGCCAGGCTGAGGGAGCCCCCCCCCCCACCCAGTGCATGAATTTTCGTGCACCGGGCCTCTAGTTTCAAAATAAAAAGTTAAAAATCAAGTTCTGGCTCCTCACTATATGGCTTATAAGGTGCCTCTTTCCCTTTCTGTCATTCTCTTTTATAAGTATTTTATTATCTAAGTTTTCAAATATTGACAAAACCCAGAGATTTAGTATAACCAGTCTCTATATAGCCATCACCCAACTTCAATAATTATCAGCATTTTTCCCATTTTATCATACCCCTGTGATACTGTGATGTAGTAAGAAATATATATTTGGTCTTTCCAGGGGTTTCTGGCTTAAAACCCTTGGAATTTTCAGTGTGATAGGGATGTCTTTTATTATTCTTAAACTCCTTTTAACCATACTTGTGTTTATGCTAATTAGGTGACCCTAGGTGAGCCCCTATTTAACTTCAGGATGAGGGCCAGTTGCTAGAGGAACTAACCATGTGATCAGAGGGAGGGAACTTTCAGCCCCACCCCTAAACCCCAAGGACATGTGAGGGGAATTGGAGATTGAGTTAATCACCAATATTTAATCAATCATGCCTCCATAATGGAATCTTCGTAAACACCCCTTCCCAATGGGGTTCAGAGAGCTTCAGGGATGGTGAACACACGGAGGTGCTGAGAATGGCACACCTGGAGAAGGCACGGAAGCTCACACCACGCTCCTATACCTTGCCCTATGCCTCTCTTCCATTTGGCTCTCCCTTTAATAAGTAAACTGTTTTTCCTGAGTTCCGTGAGCCATTCTAGTAATTAGTGAACCTGGGTGGGTGGGGGGCAGGGGTCATGGGAACCCACCAGTTCTAGTCAGTCAGAAGAAGTACAGGAGGTCCGAACTTATGATTGGCATCTGAAGTGGGGATCAGTCTTGAGGGATTAAGCTTACTCTGAGTATTTAGTGTCAGAACTGAATTGCAGGACACCCAGTTGGTGTCTGGGTAGTTGGAGAATTGGTTAGTGAGGGGGGAAATAACACACAAATTTGTTGTAAGAAGTGCTGGTAGTAAAAACAACTAGTGGTTGGTTTCAGAGTGAGATTTGCTAGATTGGCCCTGGCTCACAGAAATATGTGGTGGGTTTTGTTTGTTTGTTTGTTTTGTAATTGATTTTAGAAAGGGAGGGAGAGAGAGAGGGAGAGAGAGAGACATCAATGTGAGAGGCTAGTGGTTGGTTTCAGAGTGATATTTGTTAGATTGGCCCTGGCTCACAGAAATATGTGGTGGGGTTTTTTTGTTTGTTTGTTTTTTAATTGATTTTAGACAGGGAGGAGAGAGAGAGAGCGAGAGGGAGAGAGAGAGAGACATCAATGTGAGAGAGACACATCGATTGGTGCCTCCTGTTTCCGCCCCAATGAGGGATCAAACCTCAACCTAGGTATGTGCCCTAACTGGGAATCAAACCCAAGATCCTCCAGTGCATGGGACGATGCTCCAACCAACTGAGCCACATTGGCCAGGGCCAGGAATATATAGTTTTGATGCCTGAGGGGTCAGTCCCTAGGGGAGACTCAAGCCCCAAGCCAAGAGGGTTCTTGGCTTCTCGCAAGAAAGAATTCAAGATGTGAGCCAGATAAAAGGGTAAGTGGAAAGGTAGATTTAATTGAGCAGAGAGGACAAGCAAAAAAAGCCACTCCATAAACAGAGTAGCGGACTCTCCTCACGAGAGAAAGAAAAGAGACCTCAACCCTCTCTAGAAGTTGAACTTATATCTGTTTATAGTTTTGTGATTGGTGGGTTGCCCTCTGCATCCCGTCCTGTTACTGGTGGAAGTGGAGATTTTACGATTTCTCAAGGAAAGGAATTTCCTGAGACTCTTATGAGAGGATGAGTGATTTTTATTTCCATGGAATTAACCCCCTGGGTTCCCAATGTCCCGTCTCCCTTCATCCTGCCATGGAAGAAGTCCAATCTTGTCTGCAGCAGGGCGAAAATTAAAACCGGGGCCCAGAGTTTCTGCTCCATTTAAAAGTCCGGGCCAGGCCAGCCTCCTGAGAGTGAGTCTGCATGGCCCACGCAGGCTGCTTAAGGCCACGTGGAGGGTGAGAGCAGGGGGCCAATGTGGCTCAGGGAGCAAGAGAGTGCAACAGCGAACAGGAAGCGAGAGCGAGAGCGAGAGCGAGAGCCAGAGAGAGAACTCGATGTCCAGGGATGATAACTAGGA